GTGTGTGTGTGTGTGTGTGTGTGTGTGTGTGTGTGTGTGTGTGTGTGTGTGTGTGTGTGTGTGTGTGTGTGTGTGTGTTCGTGCGTGGGTGCACGTAGGTCCACATGCGTGTTTGGTATGTGTGTGTGGGGGGCGTGTGTGTGCGTGTGCGCGCGTGTGTGCGTATGTATGTGTCGTATTTGTACACTCTTGGCAACAACTAACGTACACACTGATTGCAGCACCCGCCACGGTGAACCAGCTACTAGCCACTAGCCAGCTAACTGACACAAACATAATACGCAATAGATGGCGCCCACACGTTTACAACAATTTAACAATTTGCCACACAAACATCCAACGTAGAATACCGACTTGAGAATTAAACTTGGAAACAATGTCGCGATGCGGTCTCTCTAATATAGCTTAAAGTTTACGATGGCGCTCACAATGACGTCATTGCTTGTGAATGACCACCTATAGATGCACACTCTGTATGTATGCAGATCTCACACTATAGTATTGATGCAGAGCCGTAGCCCGCGGGTGCTGTGGCAGATGCGTCACTAGATTTCAGAGAAAAATTTATAGTAAAATATATAATATAGAAAAAGTATAAATAATATGCCTAGAATATTAATAATCTTAAAATAACAGGGCAAATATATCTCTTCAGCCAAATCTTATCCTACACGTGGTATGTTTCCTAAACTCCTTGACAGAGGATTCCATCGTTTTATTCCTCACAAAGGTATAAGGTAAGGACATTTGGATCATCCCCAGCAATGATTTTTCGCTGGCTACATACTCCTACACTAATCTATGTGTACATACGAGAAAAGAACATAATTATGCAAATTTGATAATGATATATGCTGGTATCTCCGAATCCCTCTATATCATACGTCACAACTACACGTTCGACGTGTTCTTGTGCATCGGTGTTGCATTAATAGACGAATAATGACTTTAAAAATATATTTGTAGACCTCCACTGTTATATTATTTCTTTACGTCAAACTACAAACCAAACAACAAATTTTTATTTTTTAAACGTTTTAATAAGACTGACAATATTTCTGTATAAATATAATTTACGTAAAACAAGTATATGAATGTATTTAGTGGGAGTTCTTTGCTTAGAATGCGTTACAAGAACTGCCACACAAATGTAATCCATAATATTAATCTTTCATGCATATTATCATAATATCTATTATCAGCGATCGTATGAAACATTGGACAGACTTTACTGCTACACATAATTTAAACAAGGAGGCAGATAAAACGCATTTTGGCACACATGTAGTAAAGGAATAACAGTATTACCCTACGTTTAATCTAACGTAACATGAACCACGTTTTCCCATTGACTCCATTATTTAATTGGAGGTGCGGTCATACGGACAGTTCTACTATAAAAACAATAGGTCCCATCTCTACCACAATAGTGATTTGATACTCTCATAATACAAGCACAATTATAAATGCAAGTAAACACAGTCAAACATACAAGTTGAATAATTAGCGATGTAACACAGGAAAGGAATCCCGGAATAAGAATTTGTACCCTCTAACTGGAGCACACTGGACGTAGGGCTGAATGCGGGAACACTCATTCTAGAAACACAGAATATGTAGGCGTTTCCTCTGAGGTCTGGAAGCTGTGTAACCAGCTTGTGGTAAATAGAAAACCTGGCTCGATCAACTTATTTGAAACTGGCTGCATATGTATTACACAAATGTTATTATAGGCGATTAAACATGCAAGTTTTTTTTTAGCAAAAAATTCCTTTCATTCCTTTAAAAAATTAGGTAAAATTAAATTTTCGTTTTATATCACAAGATTAGCAGTCATAAGTTACATATTGGTATAATACTATCATAATTACTCATAAGTTACTAATGGGTGAACGAATGGATATTATCTATATAAAAGAATACTATACTAATAAATACAGTTTATCTTTACAATTCAGCTAAAGAAACAGTAAGGTAAAACACAGTGCTGCTAAACCTATGAAAAATATCATATAAACACATGTGTACTTCACTAAATATAATAAATGTTTTGAAATTGCTTCGTTATACTATAAACAAGTATAAATGTAATGAGGCCTGATGTATCTGATGGTAAAAAAAAACACGAGATAAATGTAGGTTATGCAGATTGTGACCGCGTAGGTATTGATTTATGACCATAAACGAACATTATCTGAAGTAGCTAAACATTAGTTGATCCTTGCAATCAATGTCAAAGCATGGAATGCACATAAACTCTTGAAAATATAACCTAAACTTACTTTATATAATAAATGTATGAAAACTGATTCATTATAATATAAACAACTATAAATGTATTAAAAATAACGATGATATACATGTATATCTTTGGTCGGTAAAATTTGATTTGAAAAAGAATCAAATTTATCTTCATATACAAATGCATACCTGTGGAATGCCAGTTAACCATCAACTTACAAATTACCATGCATCATGTAACACATCACAATGACGTGGAACCCCACGTTCCATTACATCATGTCCGACGTAGCAGAATACCACGTAACACAGTGCTATGCAATGTAACATTATGCATAGTTATAACACCATGATCTAACAGAAGCTTGTATGCTATTATCTCATGTCCCAGGTAGCAGCAGAGCACCACGTGATACAACATTCATATTACAGATAAAACTCCATTCAACATGACGCTGTGCCAAATTACGACTATGAAGAAACTATGGACAATGATTAATGCCCTCGGAATCAGAATCTATCGTGCAATACAGCCTCCACCTTCTTAATGTAGTTTGAAGGAACCAGACCAGTGGTGCCATCTGGTTTTCTGGCTGTGCACCAGTTAACGTCGACCTGTGCCAAGACTTCAAGGATCTCTCCATCTTTAATACTCATCTCCTCTTCCTGCTGCAAAACACAAGCAGAGCAAGTGTTACACTGCCCAGATCTCTTTCATCTTCCAAACAAGAAATCATTTTTAGAGTTTTTAAGGAGTTTCTTGACATGTTTGCATTGTGGGTGCGTTCAGCATTAACTATACAGGAAAATGCCTGAGATTTATTTCATCGAGTTGGCTGCAATTGTAGATAACATTGCAGGCAGCAGTTTGCTATTATGAGCCAGTTTTGCCATATATTAACGCAATTCTGCGAGTGGTGTAAATAACTGATTTGGCCCAGCTGGGGTACTCCCCCCCCCCAATAAGATCATTGGCATGGCAAACATGGCAAATGCAAATGAGAACATTATTTTAATCAATTAAGAACAGCACAACTAGTTGGACGCCACGAAACGGAGCACTCACCCCGGCACTTGCAGCGTAGTCGAACAAGACGCGATACGTCTGCCCGGTGTCGCCCCCTAGGGCTTCTACCGACTCGTACAGTTGGTTGTCGATGGACGCTTCTTCGCTGTCCAGAACAGGTACTGTGGAGTCGTAGTCAGGGGCCGCCGCCCTGCGCATAGCTGTCTTTGTACAGGATGGCTCGTACAGAACTTTCTCTGTGAGGCAGACGAAAAAAGGTGATGATGCATAAGCATGTAATTTTCAATTTCCTCGTCTGCAATAGTAGTGAAAGGCTAGTAGACGTCACCGACCAAAATAGTTATGTGAGAAGGTAGCACGAGAAATTAAGTGTGAGAGTGAACGTAGAGTAAGACTTTATATGTACACATACATGCACAGGTATACATTAAGAGACACAGACCGGCCATTTCTAAGTAAAATCTTTATTTAACGATGATAAAAACACGTTAGGTTGTCCTCTATTAGCATTTCTAATCAAACACCATGCTCCTGATATTGTGTCACCCAATGACTGCTGTGAATTTGGAAGAAATCGACTTACCAGGTCTCATAGTACCTGTCTGTTCACTCTGTATGAACACCTGAATATCCTGTTCATAGTCAAACTTTTCCAATACAATTCTGACATCTTCATTGAGCTGTAAATAAAAACACCGCAGCTACGGTTCAGTACAGGCAGCAAGCTCCGCTATACCTGCAAGGCTGCCACAAGCTACGCACACTGGACATCCATAAAGAAGAGCCCACAAGAGCTCCACAAGATGCAATTACCAGTTATATAAACACGATACGCCCGAGAACGTGATCACAGAAGACAAGATTGCCATCATCTAGGTATATACTCTAGGGATGATCGTCAGTTGTTTTGTTCACGACGACGTGCTCATATGACATGCGCCATTGCATGGTGAAGGGGTCCTTACATAACCCGGGATATACTCGTGGTTTATATGCCTCTAGGCAGCTTCTACCCAATGACTGAAAATAGGGACTGAACTCGTGTGAAAGTTTTTTTTTACGTACGTCATCGATCTGGATGCAGTTGAGCGATCCTATGTTGACGTGTACCCAAGACACATTTCTTATGAAGGCGAGTCTCTCCCTGTCCAGATGTTGCAGCGCCTGCCAAGCGAATCAATCAGGAATTTACAAACACACACATACACATGCACGCACACACGTACACACGCACGCACACACAAACCTATGCGCGCATGCATCCATATAGAAGTAATGAATGTAATTACATGATGTGAGGCAACGCGTTGGTTATGTCACTAATGAGAACAGATTTTCAGTTTTCACCCAGAGTTGTTATTTTACGACATGCACATTGTGTAAGGCATTTATACTGGATGAAGACAACAGCTGCACTTCAGGCTAGTTAGTTCTATGCTATGCCAGCCAAATGGAATGTACGACCCTTACCATAAACAATATTTTTAAATTTCTTGTAAAGGTTTTATTAGCATAGTAACTAGAACTTACAGTTAGGCCTATCTCAGTCTCCTTCTCCCAGTTTGAACGCGTGGACTCTAGAGCTACAATAGCAGTCTTATACTGGTCATCTGCAACACATAAAATATACGCATTCTTGGCATCAGTATGTAATAAAAACAAATTGTTTTTTAATTACTGCTGATGGCATCTATAGGTAGAGTAATGTTTACATGGAAGATGCAAATATCCCACAAAAGACAAATGCAGCAGATGTACTACCTAAAGGCAACTATAAACTCCAATGTGCAAAAGATAGGTGCATGTAAGCATAGTGGCTGTCTTAGAGTTACCTGCTTGATGTGCCAGGTGTATGCATTTCAGCTTCTTCTGTTGCAACTAAAAGTATACGGAAAAATATTAATAATGAAAAAATAACATGTTAGTGAATAAGCTATTCATAAGCTATGTGAACCAAATAAATGAATTTTTTTTTTATATCATATACTATTAAATATCGATATAAAAAAACATAGCTATCAAATGATATGCAGGAATGCACATTGCTTTAACATTACCTTATTGATATCTTTCTGTTGAGCTGAGGTTTTCTTTAAATCAAACTCTGTTTCGGATAAGTCTGCCTCTTTGCATCTGTTATCATACAACTTTTTTGCCTGTAGACACACAGAATTAATGTTACACGGCTTCTTATACAGAAGATTTTTATTAAAATCTGGATGGGGATAAGAAATATAATGGAAATCCTGGCTGTCACCTAGCCAATTGATAATACAGAGACACGTTAATTAAATTTAATAATTAGTAAAAATATTCGTCAGTCGGGTTATGAACTTCTCACTGATGCATACTATATATACTACCTACATCCATACTATATATACTACCTACATCCATACTCTTTTTGTACAAGTTTTTCTTGTTTGCCTGCCATTTTTTCATAGTTTCCTCCACCTGAGAAAGATAAGAAAACCATTCAGGTCTACCATTTTCAACTGTATGTGAAACTAAATGCACATATACAATGCATAGAAGGCATGAACAACATAGCTCACTAGTCATTACTCAAAATCACCTTCAAACTCCTATGAGTCATGTCACCACAGTGCTACCGCTGTGTAAAAATAATTTTCGTCCGGTTAAAATCTATTTAAGCCGCGGTTGCATCTTTTTTAATTGCTCGTTAGTGACGAGATGACGTCACCTGTTTGCGTGTAGCGCGCTGGGCCTCGATGAACGCCGTGAATTTGGCGAGCTCCTCCGTGATCTTCACGGCACCCTCGAGATGTGCGAAGCCCTCGCGCTCGGCGTTCGTCCGCATCGCTTCGAGACTAAGCCGCGTCTTCCTGTCAAAACGCGGGGGGGGGGAAGATTTACGATCGTGCGCACGCCACTACACAAGACTGACTTGGGACTCGGGCCTCCAAACTTTGGGCCTCCCTTACTCAAGGGTATTGGAAAGGTTCATAGGCAATCTAATAGCTGCAAAGGATCAGAATAAAATGGAAGTATGCATCCATGTAGCAAGAAAACTACTTTGAGCTAGTGAAAGGTTTGGTTAATTAAATTAACAAGAAATGAGTGAAGTTGAATAGTTACTAAGGCGCTGTGTTCACAGGGGCTTATAATGTGAGGATTTTCAGTACTTTAGAACATAAACTACTATATTATGTGCTTCTGATCACGTGCTATTGCTTAAGTGAACATGTTCATGTAAACAGGTAGTAAGCTAGTAAATATACAGTATCACAACCCCCTCTAGTGACATGCATTCAGCGAGTAAATGGGCACACAGATTAGAATATGCATGATGCCAATCCCAAGTTTACTCACCCAAGTTCCTGGTTTCCCAAGGGTAACTTAGCCAGCCTGACCAATGCTTTGCCATAGGTTTCTTCTATATGTGCCCTAAAATGAGCAATTATGTTTATGAATATTAAGTGCATTATTTTATTTACAGTCATAATCCTATTATATACATTTATCTCTATGCTATAAATATTATGGCAATAGATCCATAGGCCTAGAAGTGGGTATAGGCTTCAATTCTTTAAAACAGCATTAGGACTACTTAGAACACTGGACGAGGTAAAACAACTTGGACGGCCGTATTTTCCAACTTACTTTTGCTTCATAAATTCTGCCAGATCTTTGCACACCTGACTTCCCTCCTTTGTTCTTTTTAGCACTGCATCAGCTCCTGCAGTGCTACAGAAGTCCACATCCTAGAATCGTAAAAATGGCTACAATTAATACGCAGAATGCTAGTTGCCATCCACGATCACTTACTAACTTTGTCGCTAAACCACAATGCACAATCCTACTAAAGTACCTCTATACACAAACATGACGTGATTAGAGTTATGTTACGGTTATGGTTAGATTGGATTTATTTAGCACCACCATATACTTATATACATATGTTTACAATAGTCAATAATATGGATAGCCAATATGGTTAGGGTTATGGTGATGATGCAAGGTGACATTGATACAGGGGGTACATAAATCGGAATAAGCCTAGCTCTATCGATGTAGCCCTTCACAATGCCACAGGCTACAGAGCAAAACTGAGCACTGATTTTCAGCTGTGCTTTCTTTCAGCTCACTTTCAATTCCTGTGAGACCCCATGACAGCACAGTGGTGAAGTGGTTAGTGTGTCCACTATTCACTGCAAAGGTTGTGACTTCAAACCCCGCAGCCAGGGCATTGAATTTTCTCAAGGGTGTAAAAACCTGGCTTCCAACATTCGGGACTGTGAATATCTCATGGCTTGGACGGCCATGTAAAATGCCGGGCCCACCTCCAGCAATGCCAGTGTGATGTAAAAGAACCACTGAGGATGTGATATGCTTTAGCATTGCCTACACAGACTTATAATGTCTATAAAGGGGTCGACCTGATGACATCACATGACATCACATGACCCTAACCACAAGTTACCTTCTCGCTTCTCACTGCGTGATCTACGTGTTCCTATGACGTAAAACAGTCGTAGTTCGTATATCATGATCGCGTCAACATATGACCCTGTGCCGTAGTATTTGGACGCTCGCCCGAAACTGGACGCTCCTAAGTGTGCATGCGCGCATGCTCTTTTGTTTTTCTCTTGTTTTCTTTTTGTTTGAATCTTGTTTTGCAGGGCCGTAGGAAATAGTAGCCATGCTCTTTTGTTTTCTTTTTGTATCGCTTTGTAACCTGACACACGTAACACAGTCTTACTAACTTACTACATTGCAAATTGTTTCAATCAAATGTTTCCATGAGTGACCAGGTTGGCCGCCATGTTTGTATATTGCAACCGTTTTCAATGGGCGAGATGCGCAGATGACTACTGGCCTGCGCATGCTGCGCATGCGCCCTTGCAAAACAAGAGGCGCCTGCGCGCATGCGCACTTAGGAGCGTCCAGTTTCGGGCGAGCCTCTAAATACTACGGTACAACCCTACTTACTACGGTCACATGTCAAATCGACCGGCCGACAAACCTGCCCAGTGTGGCAAGCTCACTCGTCAGTAACATCATCCTATCCTATCACAGTCCTGGACATAATTTCTATCCTTGAACCACATATAACCGTGTATACATCTACCATACTTTGATTTTATTAATAGTAACTAATAGTAATAGTAATACAAATGGCTGTTGCTCCTGCAA